AACCGAGCACATCCCAGTTTCTTTTGACTGTGCCACACAGAACATCAGGCAGGAAGTTTTAGTGGCCCACCGGCACAAATCAGTTTGAGAACCAATAAGTTTTTAGGGCATTTAAAAACCTTTTATCATTCCAGAAGTATCTTTTATTTTACAAAGGGTAAGCACGTGCTGAATGCAGTCCCCAACACAGTACAGCAGCTATCAGTGTTGAAGCATTAGAAGTAGTTAAAAAGAAACTTAACTCATCATGGATTTTTTTTTTTTAAATGAGGTAACTGGTAGGGCAAAGATGCTGCACTGCTTTTCCTTGAAAGCTTTTGGTTTATATTTTTCCTCAAGTCTTCCATCAAAGCACTGACAGTCTTTGTCCCTCTGACATGAGGACTAGAAACTACATTAAGCTAATTCTCCACACAAAAATAGCAGGGTAAAAACATTCAGAAACAAGACAAGAAATTGGCAGAGAAACAAGAACAGTGACATAACAAACAGAAGGGGATTTTACTTCTCTCCATTTGTGACACTGGGGTATCAGTCCACCCAGAACACTGAGAACAGCTCTGCTTCAGGGATTATTTTGATTCCTGGGCTTTGAAAGCCTGACACAAGCACCTCTCTCAGGCTTAAGTGTACCAGTTGCAGGATAAGACTCTGCCATTGAGACTAATACCCTTAAAGACAACAGGCTGCAAAAGTCTTAACACTGCCCTGTTTCAGAAAATACGAGTATTTCCTTTAGAGAATTCAGGGGGGTGGTATGTGTTCAGACGCATGTACACAACTGAAAACAGATTGTCCTAATGGATTTTTTGCATCTCTGACTCAGAGGCAGTGTGTCACAAGAAATCCTCTAAGGCTACTTCCAGGAAAAGCTGAAGCAGGTCAGTGAAGAGTTCTCTTCATACAGCCCATGTGGTACTATCAGCTCTAAGCTGTCAGTGGCTATTAAGAAACCAGTGATTCATCCTATGCTTACAAGAACCAGGGTGGCAGACACACGGCAGTGCTCTGGCATCCACCTTTACAGCCCTAGAGCCACTTACTCAGCTGTCCGAAGAGATTTATGAACACAAAGATGGAGGCCAGGAAATAGCCACAGTTCCACGTGCCATCAATGTAATCCCTCTGCTCGCTCCACTGGAACCACATGCGGATGCCATCCTCCAGGAAGGTGCTGATGAGGCACAGGCGGGCCACGTGCGGAAGGTACTGCTTCGTCACCCGCAGAAACTGCACAGGCAGACAGCACAGTTAGCAGGGAAGGAAGGCAAGGTGATACTCAAGGCATAACAGCTCCAGGCACTCTGCAGACTGAGGTAAGCAGTTCTCACAACCACAGGGTCATCAACACCTAGGGAAACACATACTTGGGACTTGGATTTAATGAAATCCTTCTCCACTCCAGTTTGAGAACACTTGGGAGCAATGGTGGAAACCTGTCGTCACACTCCACTCAGAGAAATTTGGACAAGGACTTGTAGTAAAGCAAAATCCAGCAGCACCTTTCTGTGTAACCAGGAACTGTGTTTTGATTGAGCTCTTGCTAGATGAAGGCTGACCTTGGGTTTAGTTTGTCTATCTCCGGGTTTCATGTTACAGCTCAACTACCAGATAGCTGGGAGCTGAAAGGGCAATCCTACTCCCACCCATATACTGAGGCACTCAACCACCTCTAACAAACTGATTCAGGGCATCAGTCTGTCAGAAGACTAATTCTGTAAAAATTAAGAAAACATTAATAAGCTTTCTGCCAAGCTAGTTCTAGAAAGCTCAGAAAAGCAACAGTGCAAAGCATGTGTACTTGTGTAGCAGCAGCAGCTATCAGATCAGCACAGCTCTTGCATGAAGTTGCACCCTCTATCCTCTATGCAAGTACACGCAGTTTTACTTCCATTAGGAATAGCATCCTCTGCACAAAGTAAACAAGTATTTATATATGCAATTCAGCAGAGTAGTTAAAAGGAAATTATATCATCGTGCAACAGATGCTGAACTTCAGTCTTTGGGAATGCAAGATGTATCTGGTCCCACATACCCCTTCATCCTGCTAACTCAGGTTCGTTTGCTTCACAGTCACAATAATTGTAAGGGAACAAATACAGAATTGTCAGACAGGGTCTAGGCCAGCACACTCTATAGGGCTGTGAGGTGCACAGGAAAGCTTACTGCCTCTGGATTATGACAAGTGTGTCACCCAGTTTCCTAAAGAGCACTGGTTATTACTTAATGGAGACTTGCACTAGGACTGGCACAGTCACTCAGCACAAGCTAGCACCCGGCTGGCCCATTCCATGCGTGGGTTCAGCTTCGCCAGATCACCAGGACATCTCTGGAGTCCACGTATGCTGCTGTTGGAGTCTGAGCAATTCAGTAGGAAACAAATTTAATCTTGTAAAGTTCATTTTAGATTATCCAGTAAGTTCAACCTTCAGGTGCCAGGAGCAGCTCGGGCAGGTTGACACTTGTGAAAGTAAAAGCCCGTGCCACAAGCCTTCATGCAGAACTGCCAGACTGCAGAGCTCCCCGGTCAGAACTAGGAGGAGCCACTTACAAACCACCATTATGCTACACAAAGTTCGATGTGTTGTAAGGCACATTGATTCATACAGTTTATGCAATATTAGTACACTTCAAGCATAAAAAGGTGTGTGGGGAAACTCGTGTATAGGTGTTTTCCAGAGAGCACTGAGCTATATTATGAAAAAATGGACATAAAAGACAAACCTTTTCTTTCATAGTTCAGTATGTACGTGGACTTCAGGTCAGACAATACAGCTGACCGGTTTCCTTCTGGGCAGAACATTTTTAAGTGTTTGGCAGTCTTGCATGCTTTCAGTACATACGGGAAGTGTGAGGAAAGGAGACTAAAGCCATTCTGGAAAGTTTATTCTTGCCACAGTAACTAGAAAATACTAAAGGCTGTTCCAAATCCTATGCAAGTGACAAACCCTGCTTACTGTGTACCTGAATATTATAATGAGAAAAAAAAACCCTAGCAAACATGCTAACAGTAAATATCGGAACCAAACCACACTAGTTGTACTGCAAGCATCCAGAGTCTAAGGGTCAAGAATCAAGTGCATTTCAAATGCCACTGTACTCGGACTCAGGACTGCCACCTCAGGCTTTTTTTAAACCATGTGAACAGTTGGATGAATGAGTCAGAAGAAAATCCGTGATCTTTGTCACTGAATCTTGGTTTACAGCTTTCCTCTCTCCTGGGTTTCACTGTGTGGTTGGACAGACTTGCTGACGAATACTAAGGATAAAAGCTGGTTTTGGAAATAGTGCCAAATCAAGAGTGGTTTGTCAAGTAAGTCTGCCTTGTCAAGAGACAGAGCAGGCAACTTTGGTCTAGAAGGAAATGAAAGAGGACAACTGCTGAGCATCTGTAAGAAAAGGAGAAAATAACTGTTGTGGAAAGGCTGAGAAAAGTAAAGAGAGGATATCTGCCTCCAGGCCTCATCTTTGTTGTCTGGAAGTGGGTCATACAAGCTGATCTCATCTTCCCCTTCCCTGAAACCAAACGACTGCCAGCAGTCCAGGTGAAGGAGTCAAGAAAACATTGAACATTTAGCCTTAAATTCCCTCCGTATGCCATGAGAATGGGCATCTGTTAAACACGAGCATACACATCCAACAAGGCAAGTCTGACAGAGCGAAGCCTAAGGCAGCTGCAGCACCAAGCAACCTTATCGCAACACACATCTTTGTACATCCAAAACCCACGTAGCTGCATTCACTCAGGTACACACAAGTTGAAACCCCTGTACATAGCAAGTAAATAAATTGCAGAAACAGACTGTGTGAACAGAAATCCAAGCCGAGAAGAACAACTGGCCATGGAGATCCGGAGGGAGAACAACTACATGGTAACTATGAGAATATAACAGAGTGATTTTATAGTTAGAGGATCTTGATATAAATCACCTAAGTAATTTAGGTGAGGACAGAGTAACTTGTAAGTAACAGGAGATTTCTAGAAGTGGGACAGCTCTAGTTGTACCAGACACCCGGGTTTCGTCCTCATGCATCACTATCAACATGTGGCTCAAACACTGCACCGAGACCACTTCCTACTTCCTGTATGATTCACACAGATAAAGGCAGCACATAAGAGAAACTCGGTAGCTGCAGTTAGTAACATACCCAACTAAGACCTAAGCACAATGCATGTAAGCCAAAACAAAACTGCTGAGATTGATGGAGGCGGCAGCATTAAACTCCTGACATCGAGTAACTGGATGGCTTACTCTGCTACGGGCTTTGCATCAACTGCTCTTCGCACATACTGCCTCCTTGCAAGAGGCAAAACATCTTGAGGAAGACAACAAAATGCTAGACTACAGCTATTTTAAAGAAGAACAGCTGGTTCTGTGTTGGCAGCCAGTTCACTAACATACACCAGAGGGATTTTGTGTTGGCACTTCCTCCCCTAACAGGATTACAAAGGCAAAGATAGATGTAAACGCTCATCTTAGTTTAACAAGTAAAGATGCGCAAAAAGATCCAGGGATCTCTAAATCAAATCTCTGCTCAACATCTTTTTCAAAAGGCTTGAAATACTCAAACTGATGGACAGGCCTGCCCAAAGAGAGGTCACAGTGATTCTGTTTTCACTCTTAACAGGCTTTCTAAAACACATCCCTCCTCCAACAGTCTCAAGTTTGTTACAAATGCATTCCTTTTGTTTAAGGTGTACATACCATACCATAATTGCAGGTTTTTGTAGAGCAACAGACAGCCAGGAACTGGGAATTTTTGCTGTCACCTAGGCACATTCTGTCCAAACACAGAGCCTTTTCTGTGTGTTCTTGGATCAGGGAAGCTACAATCATGGTGATGAAGAGCAGTCTGCTCATCTATGCAGAAAGCCCTCTTGTGGGCTGCACAGCATTATTAGCTGAGAGCTTCCGATAAAAGCATATTCCAAGTATCTGGCTAGTGTTAATTTAAGGGATTGCTCTGTCCTCAGAGGACAGAGACCCCCAGCAGCCTGGAACAGCAGTGATCTTTACTGGAAGAAGCTGCCCAATCCTCTGGCAGAGAAAAAAAAAATCCCACTTCCTTTCACCAACCTGTACATATCCACTTAAGGAGATGCCACCTAATAACCACAAGGGCCATCACATCGATCGGGTTAATCAATGCCTGCCAGTTATTTGTGACAACTGGGAACAGAACCTTTCCTGCTTATTTCAAAAGGTGAGAGCTCTGACCCATTTGAACATTGCCAGAGATCTTAATCAGGTTTTTAATTGCAGGAACATTTCTCATGACAATGCTTTTCACTCCTAAAGTGTGCTTTATACCAATCCCCTTTTCCAAAAGGTTATTTATTAATCAAATCTTTAAAGTAGGATTTATTAGTCATGTATTACATCTTGCTATCTCTCTTCATGGCAGATTCTTTCCTGGCCTAACCAGAATAGGCTATTTGGCATACGACGATAAAGGATCAGTGCAACGACATGACCATGTTACCAAGAGTTTCCAAATATTGTTTTTTAATATAAAACACAAAAAAAGTGCAGACTAACAATTGTGTTTTCTTTTCCTTTCCATTTTCTGCAAAATAGGATACAGAGATGTTAGAATTAACTGAACAACATGATCAGCCTTTGTGCTGGAAAACTAAATAAAACCCCCAGAGTCATTTCACTGCAGCACAATGACTCAATAGTCTCTTTGCATTTTTGTCCATTTTTTTTTTCCAGAACAGCAGAAATACCAGGCACCCACATTCCTAAAGATTATTAGACACCAGAAAAGTTGCTTGAGATCTGCTCCCTCTTATGGGGATTACAGAGGAGAGACAAGGAGTTCTATAACCCTAAACAAGCCTTCCAGGCCCCAGTTACAGCTGTTTTCAGTACAACAATGTCAGTAGTACATGGTGACTGCAATGAAGGGCTTAGCATGTAATACTTTAACAAGAATCACTAAAGAGAGGGCTTAACTTCTGAGTATGTAAATTATTTAGTTAATAACACTGGGCTGGTTATGGGGCTTAAAACCAAACCAACCCATAAAGCTTGTAGCTGGGCATCATTCTGAAACAAGATCCTGATTCCCTTGCACTGTATATCACCTAGATTTTAAGAACCTTTAACAGCTTCTCCCATCCTCTCCAATATGTGCTAAGTTGCCCTCTCCACAATCAACAGGACCATCCCCCAAGTAGCTGTAGTCTCTGCTGCAGCCCTTGGAAACTGCTAACACCTCAGAGCAGAAGAGCTCACCAGCCATACTGCACCAGCAGCTACAAACTCAGGCTATAGCCCAGCTGAGCTAGTGGGTAGTTCTCACAAGAGATCCCACCACCTGCACTGGTGCTCACTCGACCTAAACAACAAAATACTTGAACCAACAGAAAAAAAGAGACTTGATTTTTTTCCCCTGGCAGTTCAGCAGTCCAGTCATAGAAAATTGCTATTGTGAGAGAAGAGGGGAATGTATCCTTGGGAGAGGTAGAACAGCCCCTTTCATGGATAGCTATCACTCAGGCAAGTTTAGCTGCCTTGTAAAACCAAGCCTCCAGTGCGCTGGCTCACCTCTGGATGAAGAATCACTTGTTACTATTGAGTAACTTGGCTTTTAAGGCATAGTTTGCCAATTCAAAGTGAAATTAGAGTATTTGAGAGAAGTTA